CCCCAAAACCCCAAAACCCCTTAAAGTAAATAATAAGGCTATCTGTTATTTTAGTAAATCTAGTTAATAAATTAAAATTTGTGTGAAACTCACTCTTCCACTTATATTATTTAATCAGTATTGATTGCTCAGAATTGAGTGATTGCTCTAAACTATCTCGAGATCTTGTCAAATCCAAAGACATGATTATGCCCTGTGACAATGGCTTCATCTCTGCCCTCGTTGATTTCTCCTGCTATCTTTATCTGAATGCCATTCACTACGAAGAAATCTGAATGTGGCAACTTTATAGCGCTTCTGGTTATCTCGCCTTCAACGTTGTTCTAGTTTACTTTGAAGAAAAATACCTAGTCGACTGGCCCCTGATTGAATCCTCCAAATAATACTATTTCATGAGTTTCTGGCAATTCGAATGAACCAATATCAAATATTTGGCTTTAAAGCTTAATTTCTAGTACCTTCCAATTGTTCTGACCTTTACTTAAAGACTCAATTTTTTCAGTAGGTTAAAATTGGTTAGGTCCTGTTTTCAGCAATCCTCCAAAGCAATATAAAGTGCTACCATTGTTGAAGAAGCAAAGTCCCTAAGAAAATTTAGCTTCATTAAGATCTGGAAGTCTTTTCCATGCATCTTCTCTGACTATGTATCTCTCACATTACTTAGTTGCATCACTAGAATTTATTGAACCTCCACAAACAAAAATCTAAGACTAATTAGGATATACAGCACATCCGAATGCTGCTCTTGACAATGCCATTGATTTCTTATCAATAAACTCGTGCTTACTCAGAATAGGATTAAACACTAGCTCTTTGCATGAGTTGAAAGTTGTTTGGCAGTTAACATCATCAGCTCCACCGATCAAGAAAATTCTATTGTCTATAGCAAGGTTTACGATTTTAGACAAAAATAGGAGATTGCTTGAGAAATTCAAAAGTTCTTCATTTCTAAATTGGATTTGATTGGGAGTAATTTCTGGAGTTAGTTTCCAAATTTTGTGAGTTTTCAACTTGATGAAACTTGAATAGGCTGAGTTGTCAAATTAGAGTGTTCTTTGAATCTACTACTGCTATTGAATTTGAATTTCTTACTGCTAAATCTATTAGAACTGTTGCTACTAGACTTCAATGCTGATTATTTCAACATTATGAACTTATTGAGTATTTTGGGAAATAGGGGAATGATCTGCGATTGGGCTTGAGATTTCCTAAATTATTTCACAGGTCTGCTATTGATTAAACTAAAGCATTTAGCTGGTCGCCTATTAATTGAATAGCTATTGTTATTAATCGAACTATTGTATTTGTTATTGCTATTACTAGCAGAACATCTATTCTTAATTAGGAATGAAGCTTTACTGCTATTAAACTGGCTATAAAATATCTAGTCCTGGAATAATCTAGTTATTATTCATTTCATCAGAATAAAGAGAGTGCATGTCATCCTGATCTGCTTCATTTATTGTCTAAATTTGATTGAATTACTATTACTGGATAAAAATTTCAGTTTGCTATTGCTCAGGGAAAATGTTTTACTATTCTGGGGATAATATCTAGTTAGCATTTGCTTATTCAATTTACTACTATTATTACAGCATCATTTGCTATTACTATAAGATCTACTCTTGTTCTCTTTGCTGCTATTACTTTGCTAACTCTTCTTACAAAGCTCTCTACTGTTCCTCTTGTAATCTTTGCTATTCTTATTACCTTTGCATTTAAAGCATTGCTTCCTACTAAGCCTTTTCTTATTCTTACCTCAGTCTTTCCTATTCAAGCAACTATTATTATTATTTCAATTGAGCCTCTTGGTTTTATCTTTCAAGTTCCTCTTGCTACTTCTTTTACTCTTCAAGTTATTTCTATTATAATTCAGCCTGTCTTTGCTATTCTGCTATTCTTTGCTATTCTGCTAATCTTTACTGCTCAGCCAATCTTTACTGTTCAGCTAATCTTTACTGTTCAGCTAATCTTTATTACTCAGCTAATCTTTGCTACTCAACTTGTCTTTGCTACTCTGCTAGTCTTTACTGCTCTTGGGCTAATCTTTGTTATTCTAAAAGTGCTTATTACTTCTTTTGCTCTTCTTCCTAGGCTAATCTAATTTTTTCCAATTCAGCTAATCTTACTTTCTCAGCTTCTTCTCTTCTCAATCTTTCTGCTTCTTCTTGCTATTTTCTTTGCCTCTCTTATTCTTCTTGCTACTGTTATTATCTTAGTTTCTCAGCCTCTTATTCTTTTCTGACTCTTTCAGCTTCAATTGCAGCTTATCTCTAAGCTTCAACTGCTGCTTATCTCTAAGCTTCAACTGCTGCTTATCTCTAAGCTTCAACTGCTGCCTATCTCTAAGCTTCAACTGCTGCTTATCTTTATGCTTCGAGAGCTGCTTATCTTTAAGCTTCTACCTACTATCTAACTCTTTATTCTTATGCTTCTTTTTCTTTTTGCTCTGCTTCTCTCTTTTCTTATTCCTCTTTTTATTTTCTTAGTAACTCTTCTTATTATCTCTTCTGTGTTTCTTCTTACATTCTTCTCATTTAAGTTTAAGCTGCATTTTTAGCATTTTCGAGTTCTCTTTGGCGATCCATGTCTTCATTTTGCCTTTGCCTTTTTAATAAAGTAGAATCACCTCTTATATCTATCTCAAGGCACCCATCAACTATTTCATTTAATCTTTTGCCAATAGATTCAGACCTATCAGGCTTAATAATTAATATTTTTTCTATCCTCTTTTGCCCTTCTTCCATGGCATTTTGCATTTTTGAACTGGCACATTCCATTTACTTGATAAGAGTTTCATAGTTATCTTTTGATTGAACTACTACTGAATAAAGTCCCTTTTGAACATTGGTTTCTAACTCTGTCTTGCCTTACTCAAATTTTTTATCTAATTCAATACCAAACCCACTCTTCTGTTGAGTAAGAATGTGTTCAAGCTCCTTAAGATTACGACTTTCCATGATTCTGTTAATCATTTAATTCTCAACAGTTTTAATTTGATTGCCAACCTAAGTGAAAAATTGCTCAACTGTCGACTTTAGATTATTAGAGATCTTTTCGGGATTAACATCCTCCATCTTACCAAGAGAATCTTTATAAAGCGAGAACTTTTCATCGAATAGATCTTTCAAGTTTGAAGCTACATACGAAGTGAAAGTCAGTTGCTCCTAGGCCTTATCAAGATCATCAATTTCATTGTAGATACACTTGTTGCATAACAACTAGGAGGACTTCTTATCATAGGCTACATATAAATCTTGATGTTACTAGCAGTATTCTTCAATTTGAGAGTTTTAAGAAAGCATTGAAAAGTTATCTTAACCAGCTAAAATATCTGTTTCTGAGACAATCTTAAGGTACTCACCTCCATCTTCTTATTGGTGTTGAATTCCATTGTTAAAAGTTTGAATTTTATTTGACATTTGGTTATTGTTTTCTGATTTGTTTAAAATATTTTATTTTGAGTTTTGGGGTTTTGGGGTTTTGGGGTTTTGGGG